ATATTTTTAATAATTATTTTTTCTATTATTTATTAAATAATTATAAATAATTATTTTATTATTTTTTTCTATTATATTTTATTACTTTAAGCTTATATAAAAGTTAGCTTATAATAATTATTATTATCTTTAATAATTACTTTTCTTATTAACTACTATAAGTAGCCGTCCTACTATTATCTTTCTACTATATCTTACTACTTTGGGCTTTCTAAAGGTCGGCCTATGACATTGCCTAGAGCTTACTCCGCCTTGTTAAACCCTGTTACGGCTGGAAGGCACTGATGGGTCTCTAACTTCACCGCTTTACCCCGCTTTACACTGCCACCGGTGGTAATGTTACTCCGAACTTATTTTTATTGTCACCTAGGCGTCGCTTGAGATCATATATCACGACAATCCAACCCGGAATTCTCGACGATGGCTATTCGAGTAGACGGTGGTGTCATTAGCCAACAATGTCTTCGCCTTCCCCGCCACCAATGCGGGAGGATCCTCCCCGGGCACAAAAATCCGATATGGAATCAGCCGAGGACAGCTGCATCTGCAACAATCTCGCAGAATTGAATTTTCTCGCGGAAATCAAAAATTCAATTCCCATAGATAAACTCAGGAGCGTGGCCGAGAAAACCACCTGCGACATCTGCCTCCTCTTACACGAGATGGCGGACGCCTTCGAAGTCGACGAGGAATCCACCATAACCATATACCCGCCGAAGGGTGTTAAGAAGACGTTGGGGGTGTGGTTTCTCGCAGACATGGACGAGGACGACGTGATGTTGTCCGTCTTTGTGCCTCCCGGCGTCGAGTCTCCCCATCCCCATATCCGGACGCTGGACCCAGTGGCACCTCATTCCGATTCCGAGGAGAGCCTACAGCTTGCGGCGCGCTGGTTGGACGATTGCACGAGCAAGCACGAGGGCTGCAAGAGTGATCCTGATGCCCCAATGCCCACGCGTGTAATCGACATCGGCTTGGACGGTAAGGATCCAGTTCTGGTGGAGACCAAGGGCACCACGGGCCGATATGCTGCCTTGAGCTACTGCTGGGGTAAAAAGGGCCAGCTCAAATCTACAAAGGAAACACTTCCCGGCTTCATGCAGGGCATACCCATGGAGGAACTTCCGCGGACAGCTAGAGATGCGATCAAGCTTTGCCGCCACCTCAAGATTCCCTACCTTTGGATCGACGCACTCTGCATCATCCAGGATGACGAAGACGACTGGATTCGCGAGTCCAGCCGCATGTGCGATGTCTACTCCTCATCGACCCTCACCATCGCCGCTGCCCGGTCCCGTGGCTCCAGAGGGGGCATTTTTGGTCCCCAATGGTTCGGCTCCTCAGAGCGCCAGAACACCTTTTCCTTTAGGGGCACACAAGTCTATGCCAGGATGAACCCCCTCGATGATCACCTCGGCAATCCGCTCGCCATCAATGTCTCGGGACAGGAGTCGGGACTGCAGGCGGAAAAGTCGTGGATGCTCCGCCCCGATGAGCTCCCCCTCGCGCGACGGGCGTGGACGGTCCAGGAGCGCGTCCTCTCGCGACGGGTCTTGTACTACACGGCCGACGAGCTCTGGTGGGAGTGCGATAGCTGCTGGGCATGCGAATGCGGCTGGGCGAACAGTTCGAAGGAGCGTGAAGACGATGAGGACGGGTCCGATGGATCCTTTGATCCTGTGCAGGACGCGAATCGCGGCTCCTTCAGCTGGCTTCGGGATCTCCGGCATGACGAGCACCTCAAACTCGAAAATGCCTACAAGAAGTGGTCCAGCATCGTGACACTCTTCAGTGCCGGGAACCTCACTTTCGCAAGCGACAAGCTGCCCGCGCTTTCCGGTCTCGCCCAGCAGTTCCAGAGAGCTCTTCGAGCCCGTTTTGACGTCTCTGATGACTACCTCGCGGGAATGTGGCGACAAGACCTCGGCCAGGAACTGCTCTGGATTATCGGGCCCTACGTCGGTCCCGCTCGCCCGGGTCCCCATCCGAGGGAGGTCGGCATTCCTACCTGGAGCTGGGCCTCTGTCAACGGTGTCATCAGCCACGCATGGGAAGAACAAGAAAACGGGCTGCATCCGCTCTTCCGAATTCTTACCGCGTCCGTGGAGCTTGCGACGTCTGATCATACCGGTGGGGTTCGCGGGGGAAAGCTGGTCGTCGAAAGTCGCGTAACCCACGGACACGCTCTGGCGGGTGTTCCGCACCCTGGACAAATCCTGGCCTCTCTCGAGCTGAAACCGTCAGGCTCCTCCAAGAGCTTCTACGCGGACTGCCCCGGCGAACTCGATGCAGAGGAGACTTACACTTGTATGGCTGCTGCCGGCGGGGGAACCGGCGGTTCGGAGTGGTTTATGGTCTTGAGGGCATCGCGGAGGGTGGAGGGCGCGTACGAGAGAGTTGGCCTTGGAGTAAACTTTCCGATGTGGGAGAGCGGGCCGGGTTTGTGGGACGATGCGCAGACGGAGACTATAACAATAGTTTGAGTAGGTACTTGGAGAGCACTCTTGCCACAAAGCTTACCAATATTTCGTGCTACGCGCCTTTTATTTCTCATCAAGTTGACAAACCAACCCCCCATGATGCGGGTGTAGCTCCTTCAACCTGTGGGGCTATCAAACACGTTCTCGGCTAAGGCGCTTTGCCGATCAGTCGTAAAATGCATGCGTCACAGACCTTTGCTGGCATCCGGGGATGCTCATGCAAAAGCTTGCGGTGCCGGGGTCCTCAAGCGTATCCTGTCCTACTCTTCGCCTTGGTGGTTGAGTTTATTGGTCGGGAGCAGTTCAGAATTGGGTAATCTTTTGTCATGACTTCACGCTCACAGCCGGGAACACCGAGGGTACTCCTATCTTGCGCGTTGGCTCAACTCGCGCAGCCTGAATACATTCCAATATCGGGCCCGCGGCGAGTGGAGTGAAGGGACACATGGGGGGCCGCAGCGCCCATCTCCCTCTCCCCCGATCGGGTGTTCCTGATTTGCACGTCCTTAATAGATTCGACGACAATACAGTCGCGCTAGGCCCCGACCATGCCGAACGAGTCACCCGATTTCGCGAAGAGCTCAGCCACTTTAAGATTGACCCGAGGGGGTACAAGTTATGTTTGCAGATGCGAAACGAATTGGACACGGGAGTGAAGCTTCCGGCGGCCTGCGAGCATGTTGTGTTCAGTCAGTGTGCCAAGTACAAGGATTGGAAGGAGACCAGGGTATGCTGATGATTGAGGCGACAGTACCAAAGACGACATTGCAGAGTGGGACCGGTTCATCCTGGTTGCAGAGGATGGGCTTGAGATAAAATCCAAATGTCTCTCGCCCCTGAAGATGGCGGCGTGCTACTGGGGACAAGATATTGTTCAGCACTACTAGCGAACCTAGAAGGGGAGGAAGTGACGGGCTTTAACCTGTCGATACTCGAACGATCCCAACAGGGAATGACTCCTAAGCGTGTCTGATCTTGACATCAATAAAATTCTATTGAATAAGGAGATTTAGACAGCCTTATAGTTCCTCCAAACTTCTGCTGCCCTCATACAAGCTTAGAGTGGCCTGAGAACTAGAGACTAGAGTTGCCCAGCTAAGATCTGCCTGAATCAAGGATCTCCCAGCTATCATCATTCTTTGCATCCCATAGCTTCTGCGTCTCTGCCCAAGCATACCAATAACTTTTTAGGGACTGTACCATTTTGACTAAATAAGTGGAGTATATCCACCGAAAACCTTTCGCAGATGGTATGGATGATAGAAAATAGCATATGCCTCCAGACCGCTTGTCGATTTTCGAGATCAGCGCCTTCTAACTGCATCCCGTAGTCCTACAGGTAGTTCTTATACAAGGGTTTATATACTTTATTCTTATAGGGGAGGAGTAAGTTGTAGGAGATCAAACCTAAGAAATACAAGGCCGCTTACTCAGGCTCTTGGGGTTTATGTAGATTAAGTATAGCTTGCATATAGAACCGGTTGCCTTCTGATACTAACTACTTGTAAACTGGTTCGCCTACCGAGCGGGATCTAACGCATTTGCAGAGGAATATTAAGATGTCGTTCTCAGGTTTCCGGATGACAATAGGAAACGCCTTTTTGACCATTTAGGCGTGCAGACTGCCCCTGTTCAAGTCGTGCGCTCGCTTATTCTCTAGAGATATCGTGGTAACCTTAATAGGATGCTGAAGAACAAAGGTTTTATGGCAGCACTCGACGCACTCCGTATCATTCCCGCACTCTTTGTAGGGTTCCGAATAGATCATCAATTTATGCCAATGAAGTGCTATCTCCACCACCTCGACACAAAGGGAGATAGGAGACCACCCAAACCAGGGTGAGAGATCAAGTGTTGAATTCACTCGTCGAGAACCAACGTTCAGGCTTGCATAGCCCCCTTTGTCATGCTCACAGCCTACAGACAATTTCATCGTTGGTCCCGAGTGTTCGCGTGCGTGATAGCCCTACAAATCGCCAGAACTGGGAAGGCTTGAATCTTTGTTTGCCCGCACATCACGCTATAGGGCTTGTTTTTAACTACGTAGGTTTGCAGTGTGCACTGTGGCTGGTGCGGAAGATTTGGAGCCGCGGCCAAATCTCTTCTCTTGGTTGCGACCCTTACATGCGACGGGTCTTGTTTGTAGGCCCCGTATCCAGCTGGTTGCATCACTCTAGCATCTCCAATATTAAATATACTCGCTTTCTTCTTTGGAATTTTTGGAGTTTTCGGGGGGCAAGTTCCTGGGGACTTTGCCCATGGCTGGACCTCGTGTTATAAACAAGTAGTAAAACAATGGATCAGCGGTGCACGTGCTATGCAGGTTGCACCGCACGTGGTTTAGATCACTGCACTACGGCATTTGTTATTGCCTAACTACTGAGGTGTCTAACCCTGCCGAAGCTATCTTGACAGCTTCATTCTCGTAATTATTATCCATGTTTCGATAAAAAAGCTAATTGGAACTTAATTAGCCCCGCAGGATCGCCCCATAGTCCCTTTCCATTTCTTCCTATCGCCATGGAACCCATCGCCGGCCCCGACGACATTGTCCACGTCCCCGCACCATGGGGTCTCAAGGGCACTGTCTACCAATTTGCGTGGTGGACCCCACGCACCCAGGCTGAGGACATGCCGGCCATGGCCTACTCGCCCCTCGAAGCCAACTCTGCCTTTGCATCCCCCGAAGGCAGCAAACCCCTCGGCGGGCTCAGCGTCGTGCAGATTATTCGGTATACGGAGTCGCCGGTTGGTCCGTATGATGAGCTGCTCTTTGTGCCGGGGTCTCATGAGAATGTTGTTGATGATGAGAAGACTGGGAAGCGGGTGACGAAGCGGAATGCCCGAGTTACGAGGATTTATGTGTCGCAGAAGTATACCTGCTGGAACGGCAGGACGAGTGAGTGTCCCTCTAAGTGTTGCTGTCGCCGCTCATTTCCAACATGCTTCAAATTACAATCGAACAATCCCCCAAGAATCTTTCATATATCCCATACTGACCTTAGCCTCCAGATTGGAACATCCCCAAGCACCTTGCCAAGTTTGAATGGCACACCGATCCTTCTACTTCTACCGCAACCGTCAAGGTCTATCCCCACGACACACCCAAAGCTTCCGGCCCGAGCAGCACCTACGACGCGACCGAGGCCACAGCCGCCACAGTGCCTTTTTTTCAAGCATCCTTCAAACCTGTCCCCTTCACTCCCAGCTTCCCCTTCTCCGCCGCCGTCTTCCGCTACCTCGGCCTCAACCCAACGCTCGTCCAACCGCCCCTCCCCGAAGGAAAAGACGCTTCCCAAAAGGAGCTCCCCGGTACGAGCAAGTGGTGCGCCATCGATCCCGTCCAGAGCTCATGGAAGACGAAGCTAGGCTGGTTCGACTTGCGGCAGCAAACGGATGGTAGGGGTCAAGTTATTGGTGGCGCGGAGGGGGAGAACTTTTGGCCTGGGCTTGGTCGGTGGCATTTGGGTATTCGGATGGAAAATGCGACGATTGATTTTGGGGAGGGGAGATATTGGGACCCGTCCAGGTCGACTATGTGATTTTGAAGCCGGAATTTGCAACCGTAACGGCTCGGAGGTCTGGAGCCTCGGTGTGAGGGGTCTTGTATTAAGGTGCTGCGGAGTGCGAGTTGGAGGAGTCGGTCTGGAATTGCCCCATCAATATGTAAGCGAGAATGGAAATTAAACCCGCGTATGTGGTAGGATGTCGGAAGCTGTCTGTTTTGTTCAATTCGATTTACCAGACGCGAAGTTCTCCAGTCCCGCGCTCCAAGTAATTTTTTTGGCTTTATTTCGTTTTTCTTATCGTGGTTACATCTTGTCGTTTCCTGTCCTCGGTTATAACACTGACTCACACATTCCAGGCTGTGCAATGAGGTTCTAACTTTCTGACCGCGAGCAATCGGATGCTGTCGTGAGTCTTTCAGCTCCTATTTGCTTGGCGGCGTTCAATCCTTCACTCTTGGCAATAGTTTCCGCCTCCTGCAAACGTCCAAGTGCAACCCTGGTAAGTGATGTGCTTCTGAGGAAGACGTTTGCTCCACTAAAACGGCTGGTTTCTTCCCCGCTCATATCCTTCCATAACATTCTGAATGACAAATTGAGTGAGACTACCCAGGTAGGCCCAAAGAAGAATCGCGCATATATTTCGCTCGCAAAAAACAAAGTGGATGGCGATCCATTGACCACGTCAACGGTACGAGCCAAGATGTCGAGGTGAGAGCAACGAGCATCGAAGGGCCACCGAAGCGAGTCACCACTATCCACGGGAGACGAACAAATGGCGCGGCTCTCATTCCCGCGCCTCATGGCTGCCTACTGCTGCCTCTGTCTCTGCTACTTTACATCCAGCCTGGACATGAACGCCGTAGCGACTGCCCCACCCAATATCGGCAATGCCCTGAAGGCCGGTCTGAGTATCACCTGGGCTGGAACTGCGCATCTGCTGGGCTAAACCTCATTTCAGCCCCTGTACGGGCGCCTCTCGGACATTGCCGGCCGCAAGCCAGTGCTCCTCACGTCCGTCGCCTTCGTCATCGGTGGCAACTTACTCTCCGGGTTCGCACGAAGCCTCCTTTAGCTCTACTTATCGCGCACTTTGAACGGTATCGGTGGCGGCGGTATCAGCTCGCTCGTGGGAATCATCATCGGCGACCTCGTCAGCTTGAAGGAACACGGCAAGTACCAAGGCTTGATTAGCTTCGCGGTTAGTATCGTATCGGCTTTTTGATTGGTCCCTTTTTCGCTGCAAGTCTTCTGGATGCCGGCTTTGACGGGTGGAGGTGGGAGTTTTGGGTCCCGGCGATGTTGGCTGCTGGATGTTGAGTGCTCCCCGTTTTCCTGCTCCCTCTGAAGTCTGTGGCTGGGAATTGGAAGGAAAAGGTGAAGAAGATTGATTGGCCTGGCGTCGAAGCTTCCGTCACGAGTATTGTGCTGTTACTGGTAAGACTCAAGTCTCAAAAAAAAATCCTGAACCTTGGGGAGGGTTGAGCTCACCTTTTGTAGATGCCGATCGCCTCTGGTGGCAGTGTCTGGCCGTGACGCAGCCCGTTAACCATCTCGATGATCATTACCGGCGGAATCTTTGTCATCATTTTCCTCTTTGTCGAGGGCTACTTTGCTAAGATTCCCATCATGCCGCTACGCCTATTGATCACATGCCATCCTCCTCTTCCGGGGTCTACTTCACGACTTTGTCTGGCAAGGAACTCAATATTTCATGGCCTTGTACCTCCAGACTGTCCGAGGGTACAGCCCCTTGAAGAACGCAGTTGACCATGTCGTTCTTTCTTGCCCAGAGTCTTGCCGGGGCATTCTCGGGGCCCATCATGTCCATGTCTGCACTGTAATTCGTCGATTTTTTATCCCGCGCCATGATGCATAACACCGCTGACATCTTGCACAGATACAGCATCGTTCTGCGATGCGGTTTCGTCCTGTGGACACTCGGCACGGCTTTGAGAATCATGTTTTCTCTCGACACATCGACGATGGTATACGCCATGTTCTCGCCATTGAAGGTGCCGGCGTAGGGCTTGTCTATCAACCCAGCCTCGCCGTTCTTCAAGCTCTCTCAAGAACAGAGGACCGCTCTGTCGCAACGTCAACACGGAGCTTGCTGCGTTCCCTTGGAGGTGTCGCTGGTGTTGCTGTTCCCACGGCCGTGCTTGACGCTGTGACTGCCGCCGCGCTCAAGGGCAAAGTCCCTTCGCAGATCCTGGCCGGTGTCTTCGATGGAAGCTGGCGGATTGGCGATATTGGCTCGCCGGAGATCGTGGCGGAGGTCTTGGCGGTTAGGATGCACGGATTCCGGGTGGTCTTCATGATCTTTGCGCCGCTTATGGCTGTATGCCTGCTTGCGAGCTCCTTCGCAGCCGATATTAAGCTTCATGGCGATGGTGATAAGAACGAAGAGAAGAGTGAGAAAGGGAGAAGAAACAAGAAGGCCCGGTGGCGGGTTGATTACTTACCCTTGCACGACCTGGGGATGGGCGAGAAAAGAATCGCTTTCGATGGCGGGGAAGGGCTCGTCTCGGGTTTTGTCAGGTATTGGTGACCAATGTAGTCAAAAAGGAGTTATATTGGTTAGGCCAGATTAGAATTTATACTAAATAAGATGCTTTAATTCCTATAGAAATTTAGTTAGGTCGGGTCACTGACCTAACTAAGAGTCGGCTCGTGTATATTCCCGGAGTGCTAGAGGACCGACGAATGAGTCGTCCTATAAGCTTGCGCGCCTTCTTAACGACATCAAGTCCACAATAGTCGATTCGGCTTGGCCGCCACTAGAAATTCTAGAATCTGAATATCAGCTATCGTCTATTTTTCACTCCTTGAATTGTCGTTTGCTCTGTTATTTTGTGAGCTATGGACCTCCCCGTTGGCCCCCCTGCCCCAACGACCCGGCACGGTGGCCGACCCGTATCGCCCTCCACGGTCGATAAAGCTCCCTTGTCCCATACGAGCCAGGCCACGCCCTATCCCTGCGCAAGCGCCTCGGCAGCGAGGAAAACGCCCACCACTGGACCTACATGTTCAGCCACGGCTTCTCTAGCCTCGAAGAATGCAAGGCGAGCATCCGGGAATCGAGCGAGGCCAAGGACGCCCATTTCTTCGTCGCGATGACGGGGCCCGCGTCGGACTCCGTAGCGGAACCAGCGGCCCTGTTTTCCTACCTTAACTCCATTGTGGCCTTGTGCCTCCATGGGAGGAAGGATAAAGTGGCAGAAGAGGTGGACCGACTTGAGGTTGACGCTGCTCTGGATAGCCCAGACAGCTTCGCTCATCGCAGCGGAGCCACAGGGCCCAGAGTGACCGACATTACTATAAAACAAAGTTACCCTTTTTCTTCCCGTTGAACGACACAGTGAGAATCGTTTACTTGACTAAAATATCGATGCCGCCGTACTTGGTAATATAATTACTAACAGTAGCCTTGACGCTCTCGCTAATAAATTAAATATATAAAAACTTTTTATATTTTATATAAGTATTTTCTTTTTAGCTCGTTCTAGATCTTCTTAGATTACTTTACTTTACTATAATCTTAGTTAATCTAGATTTTTTATAAATTATTATAAATATAAGTAATTTATATTTCTTACAATCTCTTCTATTACTCTATAGTTTACTCTTTTCTACTAGGCCCGACTACCTGGTCCTATTCTTCAGCTATATACAGCTATAATGATAGTAAGAATATTTATTTTATAGTCTTCTTATACGACTTAAGACCGGTAGTGTAGGGGTCCTAGGACTATACTATTAGACTGTAGGATATTATAGCGTGTATTGTTCTACGCCGCGTCAGGGCCACGACCCCTACGAGGCTACGTCGATGAAGCTGGTAGGGCTCGTACGCCGTAATGATCTCAAAGGTCGAAACTACGCCCACGCGCCAACAAGACTCATTAAGAAAGCCCCAAACAAGGCAAGTAGACAAGCGTAAACACGTGTTTTACCATAGAGGGTTTCCCAGCTTTCGTCACTAAGAAAATCTGGCGCGAGAAGCTCGACTAGGGACGCAAAGGTAAGTAAACCGGCTGAAATAGCGCTCAAGATCCCAACAAGGAGAAGTCCAGTCTTCGAGTCTGGCCTGTAAAGGGTGTGGGTGGCTAGGCCAATCGCCTGGCCAATTGGTGTTCTGTGTCCAAGGTACTGTTATTATCTAGACATAGTAATAGAGAGAACAGAGAAAGAGAACAGAGAGAGAGAACAGAGTACGCACGTGCATCCGTAGGCTAGAGCCATCAACCAAGGTTGGATAGCACCATCCCGCCAGGAAATATCGGCGATTCGAGATCCTAGAGCGAGGCCTTCAAAAAGCTCTGTGGCGGCCCGGTTAGTTACTACCTAATTATTTCGCTGATATGATCGTTGGACTTACGATGGAAGATAATGGCAATTAGGAGGACGATGAAGCTGTTCCCAGTGGAGACGCTGAGAGTCATTCCAATAAAAACACTATGAACGAGGATGCCGAGCTCAAGGAGGAGACATTGAAGGATCTCCCGGCGCTGCCGTTGCTCTGGAGTCATTACTTCTGTCGAACGAACGTTATGCAAACCTATATCAGGCTGATCCCTGAGTGGTGACTGAGCAGTAGTATTCACTGGGTCAGAAGCCTCGTGTTTACCACTCTTGATCCGAGCCTCTTCTTCAACTGGAACATGTCGGGCAGTCAATTGGTGATTGCTGGAGGCAGTCAGAGTTTGGGTTCGAGGAGTCCTGCAGGCTGGATGAAGAAGCATCTCGAGGACAACGATAAGGAAGACGGATGACATCGTGATCACCCCTGAGATAGCGGGGTAATCCCTAACCCAGAAGCGGCCAAGACACGGGTCGCTAAGATTGACGAAGGCCGGCGGAAGTAGATGGACGAATGCGGCACCGATAATGACGCCTGTCCCGAAGTGTCGTATGGTGAATAATACCGAACTTGGTATCTTCAACCCAGGAACCCTTGTCGCTAAAACGGGAAAACCAGCGGCCGCTGCTGATACAAATAGGATAATGAAAAGAGCACCAATATGTAGAGGCATGTCATAGTCGCTCATGTTAATCCGTCCTGCACCACAGTCTGACCTCCTGGAGAGTGGTATAAGTTCGGGTGTGTTAGAGAGGGGCTGCTGAAAGAAATGCGTAATAGAGTGAAAGATAAGTAAAAATAGATGCTTTCCGAACCACACAAGGGATACGACGGCAAGGGCGGAAGAAAGCCAGGCGATACTGGCCCGAAGCGATGAACGCCATGAAGATGGGATGTCGGTGGAACTAAGTGGACCAGATACATCATAGGATGGAAGATAAAATGAAAGTCCTAGAATACAGATTATTAGCAATTCGATTATAGATAAATATATTCGTCGGTTCTCAACGGACCTGTTCCAGACTTTATATGCCCCGTGAAAACGGTACAATTACCAAGCTCTTGGGATTGGGCCTCCTGGTTCTGGGGTTTCTCCTGCGGTGTGGCAGTAAACTCTTGAAGGCGTGCAGACCTCCCAATGCGACCCCAAACAGGTTTCCCTTCCAGGTTTGATAGAGATGAGCGGTTTACTCCCATCGAGGGGGTGCTTTGGTGCCGGTCCTGGGGTGGGAATAAGGATTTCTCAGTGGAGAGGGTGCTCATCGCTTTGGATGTTGATGTTGGTTTGGAGTGTTCAGATACTTTGGTCACGAGTAATCGAAGAGCTAGATGATAAGCTCTAAAGAGAAACGGGTATTCGGAATATAGGGAAGACCATGTTGAAGCATGGCCTCGTGTATTTCCCTCTTTTAAGCAGATTATCAGATAAGATAATCTTACCATCAAGAGCTGTAGAAGAGTGTCCCAGTCGTAGGCTGATAGTTTTGGAGGCTAGCTTCCCCACGACTAGATGTATGGTCACAACGTATGACTGCGGGTAGTAAATGATACGAGGTGGGGGTTGTATTGAATGATTTGCAGTAAACTTGGGCTTTATTGAGTGACTGAGCCTGTGACAAGATCAATAGAGCATGATGTTTTAAAGTCGGAATTGGTAGTCACTGTCTAGCCTTCGCTGCAGACTGGGATTGATAGGACAGAAAGTTTAAATAATTAATTGTGCAGGGCCACAAGAACAACCACTCCTCCAATATGCACGAGCTACTACGCACGGCCGGCGACGTTACCAGGAGTCTAAAAAAGTCAGGCTTCGTCGATGTCCCCCACGAGGTGAATCCAATAGCCTTCGCCCTCCTTAGACCAACACGCCTCTCGACCATCCTCTTCTCGCCGATACCCCGAGGATCTATAACTAAAAAGCCAACACGTCTGAAAATAAACTCTTTCACACTATACCGGTCTTTCCTCCTCCCACCTACCTAATTCGACATGATGAAAAGAGGATACTAAAGGAGGGACGACGGTGACAGTGATAGTTTTGGGGGTTTGGGGAAGTTAGCAGAGTACCACGCTCTGGGAGGTTCTGTCTACCCAACGAGACATTTTCCCGGGCAACGACCTACTTACCTTTAGTACATGTCCCTTTACTCTGCTCGCTCCGGGCCCGGTTTAAAGCACCCGAGAAGGCCATTATTAACATTGAGAGGCGCGATCACCTGGGCTCCCTCTGCGATGAGAAAAGACTTCCACCCTAACCTGTTCATCCGCCCTCGGCAAGTCGACCGCCTCAAGAGTTTGATGGCCGTGCTCAGAGATGCAGTTGGCACACCAATTCCTGAACCGGCCGCTCAATACGATTCCGCTCCCAAACAGCCCACCAACCAGTGTTGGGCCAATGCGCGATCCCGTATTTGGTATCGGCGTGGTCTGATTGCCTCCAGGGCCTGTCGGAAATTATTATGAGGCGGAAGAGTAACGTGGGAAGGTGTCAAAATTATCTAATAGTTTCCTGCCCGGAAAGTGGTGATTGAGCATTCGAAATTCATTGGGCTGATTGAAGATGGATTGATAAGATACCTGGCGGGGTTCTCTCTTGCTCCCCCGCCCCTTCGCAGCCTTAATCTATGAAGCAGTTTCTTCCCAAGCTTCGCATACCATGATAATTGCTAATAGCTATTTTCTCCGTGGGATCAATCTCCTTTACAGCCCGTGCCTTAACCGGAACGCCTGTAAGTATTACCTTTTACCTTACCTTTTCTTATAATTGCGAGTATCGAACTTAGAGCCGGGACATCTTTATAATGGGTCGATTATATGTATTGGAAGAGGGTCGATGAGAAAGGATAGCTAGCGCTACGTACTGACTATGTAGGGTGGTGAGAGGAGTGATGAGCTCTACCGAGGCACATCTGTATTAACTCGGACTGGGGAGCAGAGAACGACTTGGCGGAGCGGGGGTAAGGAATTGTAGCGTTCCTTAGCGCTAATAGTAGTTTATTACCCATTTCTATTCATTGTGTTATTTGCCGACCGCCCCCTAACTGACTGGCCTGGACGGTAGGAATTTTGGACTAAGTGCTATTAGACTTCCGGACTAAATATCTTTCGTCTTGCGTCTCTCTCCTTAAAATGTACTTGTTTTGATTTTATATAATATGATAACATTTTAGTTGGCTGGCCTCAACTCTCCTCTACTACTAATAAAGACGGATTCCTACCCTTCACTTTCTCGTTTACTACTCTATACTGAAGGTGAATCGGTCATGACGACGCATTTAGTGTCTATAGTAGGATCCCTATTATCTTTTCTTATTTTATTAGACTTAGAGAGTATAACTCTTTTTTTTTTTTTTTTTTTAAGTTGAATAAGTAATTGTTAATCCCGATACTCTATAAATAGAGGGATGGTCTATTAAATGAAAGGTAGCGTAGGGTAATCGAAGCTACCGGAAAATGGGTTAGTACAATTGCCAGGACAGAGCCGCGTGTCGATTTTAACATTTCTTTCTTTCCTTTTGTACTTTTTTTCTCCTCCTCCGCCCCGAAAAAAAAGGGAAAGAAGAAAAACTAGTTCTGTCATTATACTTCTAACGGTCTTGAAGTAGAGGAACTGCGGACAGGGACGGGTACACACATTCTTCCGAAGCATATCTAGCCGGATCGAAGCCTATTTCGTTGCTTCTACCCGCCCCGTCTCTTTCACTGGTTGATCCGTGGACCTGGCCACGCCTCCTGATGATGCACCCATTGGGAAGCCTCTCCTCCTGATATTTAAGTATCCGCGGTCGCACTTGAGTGGCCTCTTGAGTGCTACCACCCTCGGGCCATTCAAGGGGGACAGATACGCGGAGTGGTAAGGTTCAGCTTGCAAATTCCAGGGTTGATAAGGAATTTATAATGAACTGGAATTCCGGTCCGCCGTCCGGCGTTGTATTGAGAACCGGTTGTGTCAACTCAAGCCATAAATCAAGTTAAATGTTGCGATGCAGCGATCAGCTGGAGCAGTTGAAGCCAGGCATTCTGCCTTGGAGGCACGAAGGGGTTGGTACAGTGGTTAAGCTGACGAATGCGAAGTGCCACGGGCTTGGTCTTTAAAAAATTCGATCCGAGTCCAAAGATCTGTAAAGGTGAACCTTACATGCGCCCCTATCACGCTGACGGGGAGCTTCAGCTGGGGGGAGATCCAGGTTGACTGGGGACGTTAGGATTCGGGAGGTGGGGTCGTCACTGAGTTGTCAGGGCTGTTCATTTTCAGCGCCGCAATTAGATGACGTCGTATGAAACATTGCCAGAATCAGACTGTCCCAAGCACAATCCAGGCAATGCACCTTTTGGCACAGGGGGCACTGGCGGGTGATCAACACAGTACGAATACAGCTGGTATGCGATTTTTTTTTCCCGAGACCGAAATATAGATAGTCTATAACATCGAACGGTCACAGACGCAGGTAGTATTCAATTATGTTTCGGCTGAGGTTCGCGTTATAAGTATGCCTGCATTGATGGTGAGTCTACAGACTGACTTCGGAAGATCCACGGTCCGTGTGACGCTCCGTTGTGTCTTAATTTTCTAGGTGTCCAGTTTCTTCACTCGGGCAACTATCAAGCAATCATGAGTAAAAGCCTGTATGAGGATGAGTGGAAGGATCCCCGCCGGATTTAATATAATTTGATTACAAGAAGTATAACAATGTAGGCTTCGTGTCACCCTTATCGTATTATTCTAGTCTCTCTTCATGGTAGTGGCGACGCGGTCTAGGGCGCTGCGGCCTACTTTCAAGGTGCCGATGAGCATATTATTGATCTACAGTTGCTTGCCTTATAGATCCTTCGGAGTACAAGGTGAAACCAATGTCTACTTCAGGGCGTGCGGCAAATGCGCCTTAAAGCTAGCACCTCACTAGAACAAAGTTTATGAGTGTAAGAAATGATGGTAATGGTGTATAATGAAGGGGAAGGAAACCATCTTATTGGGGCTCCTTCTAATAAATGCCTCCTACTGTACCTAATGGAATTTGCGAGCTGCGTGACCCTAGGCGCACTTCCATTTTTGTACTAATTACAATGTGTACTTAAACAAGGGACTCTTGTCACCCATCTCCGTGAGAGCTACATCTCCGTGCTTTTCAACAACACCATCTGGCCCACCATTCTCCGCAACATAGCGCTCACGCTTTTTGTTAATAGCGGAAAGAATGAAAAGCATAGTTCCAGCAGCAATGATTCCAAGCCCAATAAAACCGATAGAAATGCCGTAACCCAGACGATAATGTGGCTTCTCCCGGGCGAGGTAGATGTTGGAACCGATAAGTCCACCTGTATTACCGAGTGCTGTTGGAGAGAAAAAAATTATTAGCTACCACTTCTCGACAGACTCAGGAAGGGCCTTCGACTCACATATTTGCAGAGACATGCCGATGGCCCGCTTGTAAGGCCCAGCGAGGTTATTTGCAAGCCATGAGATAACGCCCGGGAATGCGGGGAAGAATCCGCAGCAAGCAAGAAAACAGCCGGCATACGTCAACTTCGCAAGATTCTCACTATTAGAAGTGGCAATTGCTATAACGAAGCCGACAATAGAAAGTAGTAAAGAGCCCACGATAAAGTAGCCGCGGCGCTTAAACTTATCCGAGAAATGAGCAACTACAATCGTGAGAACGCAAGCGGTCACGTAAGGCGGGATGGTCATGAGCTGAGCGCGTCGGGCCGTGTATCCCTGGACAGAAAAGTAAAGAAATTAGAGACTTTCAATAATAAAGGCAACGGAGAACTTACAAGTGTCGAGATGATCGTCGGCAGACCAAAGACGAGCCCGTAGGTGGACACGGAGATACCCAAGTAAATCACAACGCTGAGGTAGACCTGCACCCAATCGTAAGCACTTCTGAGTACACAGGATCCATGGCTGAATAATTAATATATATATACTCACTTGCCAGTCGCGGAAGGCGTCCTTGGTATATTTCCGCTTAGGTCCATCTTCCAACGTCCCCATTCCCGCCCGGTTTCCATCATATGCCAGCTTCACCTTGAGGTACTGTTTCTCTTCTTCCGTCAACCACGACACAGAATCTGGGCCATTGTAGATGGTGAAGATGGCAGCGACACCGCCAAGTACGGTGAGGAGACCTTCGAGGATAAAGATCCATTGCCAGCCGGAAAGTCCGCCAATTCCATCCATCAATGTGATGGCGTAGGCAAGCAGACCGGAGAATGCACCCCTGAATCACCCGTTAGAACCAGGTGAGACGAGTTGAGAGGTGGTCCGACTTACGCGAGGGACGCCGTGGCATAGAAAAGTGCCGTCCTGTACATAGCTTCGTGTCTGGTATACCAGCTCGTAATGTAGTAGGCGCACGCAGGAAAGATGCCCGCCTCGGGGACTCCGAGGAAGAATCTGGCGGCTAGAAGCCCTGGATAATTTTTAACAATGCCCATCAAGGTCATTACAATTCCCCATGTGATAGCAATCGCGGGAACTACAAAGTTAGCTGGCGGTTTCTTTTTTTTTTTTTTTCAAGTCGGAAGAGACTAGCACTTACTCCAGACACGGGGAGAGAGATATTTCAATGCCATATTGGCCGGTACCTCGAAGACGATATAGGAAACAAAGAAGATTGTCAGGGCCACATTATATTGATCTCCTGCCATGCCCAGATCTTTTTCAAGACCAGCGAGTCTTGCGTTGCCAATGTTGCCCCTACTAGAGTTCAGCTATCCGGAGTCCGACACGCAGTTGTTATGTAGATCATAACCTACCGGTCCAGGTATGCAAGAAGGTACAAAACCGCAATCTGTGACAAAAAGAAAGAAAATTAGCATTGCCCAGGCTTGTGAAGGAAACAATAGATGTAGCTGGAAAAACTCACGATTGGAATGAGGTGCAAGTCCATTTTACGCATGAGTTTGTCATACTTTGGCCCGGTAAACTCTTGTAGCAACGCAGCGACGTCTGGTGGGAGGCCATCGTCATTCGAGACCGTCGACTTCTCGGTATGTGACATGGCGACCGCCTCAGTCTTAGATGGCGTCATAACGTCCGACATGTTTGAAGTAAAGAAATAACTGTTCTGGCGAACGGTAGTATTCTGAGCTTTGGGAGTCCCATCGCTCTCCACGGAAAGGAACAGATTATATACTTCGTTGGACATCAACCCAGTGGCAACAGTGCGGTTGCATTTGATGAGACTGGTCAAGGTCACCCTCCGGTGGAACGATGCCCTTGACTCCTTGTTCAAACCATGCCGAGGTACAAGGAGTCTAGTTTTACTCCATAGATTTCGGGTCTGACCCTCGTCCCTAGCTAGACGTCAAATCTACCCTGGATCTGGGGTTTTTAGCGCCGAAAAGTCTGGGGAAATGCGGGGAAGATTGTGGGGAAAGGGGTCACTAATTTCCGGATCCGAGAATGAACACATCAATGACTCCTGCCGAGTTCCACCGGAAGCAGGCTCTTCAGGCCAAGACGGACCCACAAGGGAAATATCCACGGTTGCTGGAGGACTATTAATTCAGTATTGTCAAGAGATATTTTGTCGGATCGCATTGAAAATGGTGAGAATATCCCTCTCCATCGTCTCGTGTCTTGCGGAGTTGCGGCCATCATCGCTTAAACGTCCCAGTCGACTCAAACATGAGTCCTTTCCATCCTCCCGCGTGGGCTCCTAGCATCACTGATGCCGATATTCCAGATGATCTATCTATATTCGAGTTTCTTTTCGATGATAAGTTTCGTCCTCGTAAATGCGAAGACTCTCCTAAACCCTTCGTCGACAGTGTTAGTGGTCAGGGATACGATATTCTAGAGACTAAGTCGCGGGTTGAGTCGCTTGCTGCAGGGCTGGCAAGTCAGCTTGGAATTAGAGCCGGATCGGGAGATGTCTGGCAGCGAGTAGTCTGTGTGTTTGCAGTCAATAATGTGAGAAAAAAAAGAACAACTCTTGATGGCGGACGTATACGTCATGCTAACTCGCCCAGATTCATACTCCCGTCCTTGCCTGGGCCATACATCGACTCGATGGCGTTATCGCGCCAGCCAATGCAGCTTTTCAAGTATCGGAGCTTGCAAACCAGCTCATAGACTCGGGAGCCTGTGGTTTATTTACTTGTCCTTCTCGCCTTGATACGGCTCTCGAGGCTGCCAAACAAGCTGGCATTCCCGAATCGAACGTCTTCTTGATACCCATACCCGGAGATGCAGCTGCCCCTCGGATAGATACCCGAAAGGTTCTCGATGTGGAGGATCTGGTCAATGCGGGACGACGACTTCCTCCTCTCCCACGTAAAAAGTGGCCAAAGGGCCAAGGGCGTCAACAAGTCGCCTACCTTTGCTACTCGTCGGGCACATCCGGGCCGCCGAAAGGCGTAATGATAAGCCACCGTAACGTCATTGCCAACATCATTCAAATGACGTGCTATGAATCTACCTTTCGATCCGAAAGCCATCGGGATGTTATCCTCGGAGTTCTACCACAGTCTCACATATACTCGATTGTTTTGATAACTCATGTGCCCGTCTTCCGTGGCGATACGGTCGTTACAATGGCCAAATTCGACCTCATGAGCTTCATTCGCGCCGTCAAGAAGTTCCGGATGACCCTGCTTTACGTGGTTCCTCCCATCCTCATCTCGCTGGCTAAGCAAGGCGCTTTGGCGAAGGATCCGACAATCTTTAACTTACCGTCGGTTCAAAGGATTTACTGCGGCGCTGCGCCTCTGACTGAAGAGCTCACTTCGCAGATTCGAAATCGCTATCCTAACGTGCTTTTGGGGCAAGGATACGGCATGACGGAAGCGCCCACCGTGATCGCTTCGCACCCCAAGGAAGTTTTCGACGGTTCCAGCGGGTGCATTATCCCCGGACTGGAAATGAAAATCATGGATTCGGATGGCAACGAGGTTAGAGAGCCGAACAAAGGGGGCGAGCTATTTGTAAAGGGCCCAAATATCGCGCTCGGTTATTACAAGAACGAGGAGGCCACCAAGGAAACGTTCGCAGACGGATGGCTCAGAACTGGGGACAAGGTCGAGGTACGGCTGCATCCAAAGACAAAGGATCCGCACCTCTTCATTGTAGACCGGTTGAAGGAGTTCATCAAGGTCTCCGGGTTTCAAGTTGCGCCCGCAGAACTCGAAGGACACTTGCTGGGCCACCCACTAGTGGAGGATTGTGCCGTCATTTCGGTACCCGACGAGCGATCTGGTGAAGTTCCAAAGGCTTTGGTAGTTTTGAGGAAAGATTCTAACGTCGACCACCAGACGGCTGAACAGGAGCTGAAGGACTGGGTTGCCCAACACAAGTCAAAGCAGAAGCATCTTAGAGGTGGAGTCGAATTCATCCCGGAGGTGCCGAAAAGCCCAAGCGGGAAGATTTTGAGGAGGTTCCTGAGAGACCGGGAGAAGTCTCGATTGTCGAAGAGGGCGGCTAGGCTCTGATAATGTTGCGCTACCTATTCCATGCCACCATGATAGAGATTTGCAGATCCCACTTCTCTTAAGACTAAATTAAATTATTCCAAGCTGAGATGAGAATCCGATCCATAAGCACGAACAAATGTGACAGTCTACTGGGTTTGCACCAGTAAGCCACTCTACGTCGAAAGGATATTCATGCCATGCTGCGCCTAAAATGATGAAAATTAAAAACTCCGTATGTAATCTTTTTGCCAATTCGTCCGATCCCGTGGAAAGCAGAGCGGCGTTGACGGCGTCATCGTCCATTAACATTTCCTAGACAGAACCTCCTCTCCTTCGCCGATCAAATAAGCTGGAGGAAATAGCACCCCAACTCGAAATGGCATCTCTAAGGCCAGCTCTGGGGTTAATCTGATGCAAGGTCCATTGTAGGATCAAATTCATCCTCGCATCCAGCACTTTCTCAGGCCAACCCCTATTAACTCCGCCGATCGACAGTAGGAATTTAGTAAGACCCAGCCGAGGCATCATAGAAAGCTGGGATCGAGGAAAGTTAATACGACGGAGATTGCTCCTGAATGAAACAGCGACTACACGCCGAACGTAGGCAATTGAACCTAGCGTTGAAGCGACATCCGAGTCCTTATTTTCAAGATGACGGGGAAGGTTGCTTGATTCCAGGTGGTCCACCTGCGTTCGTCCATGATCGTACCATGTCTTGGGGCTCTCGGGCTTCCACCGGAACAAACATCCGACCAGCTGGTACCGAGGTCGTGGACCAAGCCTAAACAGGCAGGCGGAGGTCCAGATGCGGGGATTGCGGGGATAACGTGGTAGCGCTAAGTTGCATCCAGAGTCAAACAGCTTCCGACTGATTATAATGCTGAGGTGCTCCCCTCGAGGTTCGCATCCGGTGGGACTTGCGGCACTTCCATTTCCACCCTAACATTAATTTGTCCATCACAACATCGCAGCCTCCGAGATGATCTCATTGCCTTCCGGTCCCGAACCATCACCATCGCTCCGCAGAGTCTCTGTGGCCTGCGCACGCTGCCGTAGGCAAAAGCTGAAGGTGGGTACACATCAATTGATCCACATATGAATTATTCCTATTGGGCGCCGACGATTCTCTCAGATGTCAGGGGCTAAATATTATCAAGTGCGATGCCACGAAGCCATGTACTATGTGCGTCCGGTCGGGCATGGAGTGTCGGCCTCGATCGGAGCCTGAATCCACCAGATCCTCGTCGAAGCGGCACAAAGCAAGCAATACCCCGGGCAGTTACGGTGGGGTTACCGCAAAGGTGGCCAGGCGCCGCCGAAATGTGTCTGCAAGTCCGGAGATAGTCGTGGGCCGGTCGGCGCGCTCCACTCACACGTCGCCGGAACGAGCCTCTCCACTGGGCCGGCAGATCACCAGCTCCATAGAGACCCAGCAATTCGGTGCCAACAGGTCCACGATATCTCTAGCTATGAACGTGTACGAGAATCTCGGGACGCAGGCACCTACGAAGGGCTCCACAATCCCGGGTGACGCCTCGCCAGCTTCACCCAGTGGCCCGACGTGGGAATTGCAATTAATGCAAATGCCCGCCCCATCGGTGATGGAAAGTTTGATTGAAGTGTACTTTGACAAGATACACTGGTTCATCTGGATATTTCACAAGCCAACCTTTATGAGGCAGGCTCGCGATATTCTATCGGCGGCCACTTGGCGACGGGAGGATATGAGTAAGATACTTGTTACCCTAACTGTCGCCGCGCTTGGTCTCAAGTGCGCGATCCAAAACACCTCGCCACAAGGCCAGCAGTTTCTCTCCTCAGTCTCGTCTGATCCGCAACGACTCATGGACCAGATGATTGGAGAGGTACGGGTTCATCTCATAGACCTTCTCGACGACAGCCGCTTGGAGACTGTCCAGGTTTGCGTGCTCCTTGGTGCATTCTACATCTTCCATGGTTCACCGAGTCTAGCCTGGGCTATGATTGGCCTATCTGTTAGAGCATCCTACGCTCTGGCATTGCACTGCGAGTTGGACTCCGATGATCAAGTCGACACGCAGGTCCGCCGCCGCTGCTGGAATCACATCACTGTTGCCGACACCTTTGCTTCTCAGATTTATGGGAGACCCGCATCTCTCGACGCCGCCTTTTCCAACTTGCTGCCGCTTGCAGATATAGACGATACTGCAATTGATGTTCTCTCCAACGAGTCCCAAACGGAGGATAGGGCTGGTGACGGGAAGGTGACCGCCTTGACATTTCACTGGCTCAAGTATAAGTTGTACGAGATCATCCGAAAGACCCTCTCCACCTTTAGGCTGCTGCAGCTACGGAATCCTATGACGGCGGAAGACTTGCAGTCCCTGCTAGATGCCGTCCAACGTGCTGATATGCACCTATCAGAGTGGCGAGGAGCGCTTCCGCGGCTGCTAGACAGTGACGATTTTCTAGATGAGGATCATCCACAACAATCATCCTTCCAGGAACGTTTTGAGGGCCAAGGGGGAAAGGACTCAGACTCGGCGCTGCGGCGTCTCAGGTTGCAAGCATTGTTGTTGCAAATCACCTACGACGCGGCCATCATACTCGCACATCGGCCGCTGTTAGAACACAGCCTTTCGGCAGAATATCGCCAAGGCATATCCAAGAGTTCCAGAGACCTAGTGTCGAGATCCTTTGATGTTTCTGTCAAGGCAGCGCTACGCATGTCTCGGACGCCTATTATGCAGTTCGAGCACGAATTCTGCTTGGCGTTTATCTTCATTCATCTTTTCACCGCCGGAGTTATACTCTGCATTCCGCCGACCAGTCATCCATACAGCAGCATTGCGCAGGAATCTAAAGCTGGCGTGTTTCGGATTATCCAAGCCGCCAAGGCACTCAGCCCGCGTAGCCAAGTTGCACGTCACGCCGAGCAGCTCCTCAGCGATCTCTTACAACTCAGTATGCACCGCGAGGTCGACATGGTCTTCAAAGAGGACCGCAAAATGGACCAAAGGCCTGCGTCAAATCAGTCCCCGGCCGAGCCTGCACGCATCACTATTAATGCGTGCGAGGTCAGATTGTCGTTGGCCGAGAACTACCACAATCCACCAGAGCGTGATATCAACCAGCAAGGCCAATACAGCGAGACCATTCTGTCAGTTCCGCCGACTTCGGAGACGCCCCTGCCGTCGCATCAACAAGACCCCGACTCAGGAGGCTTCAGAAATGAGTGGGTAGAGCCATATCCAGTCTTTAGCCTCATGAACGCTGTTGGCTCCGAGACTCAACCCCTCGATTTGCCGCTGGATGAAGCTTTCGGCGCTTTTGGCCAAGGTATGTACCCGAGTCTCGTCTTCTCTTCAAACTGCTCCATTGCTAACTTAATACTAGTCATGTTTAACCTAATGCCCGATGACCCCTTGAACAGTTGGGGTTGGGGGAAGGGATCTATCTAGTTTCAGCTTTCACTGTTAAAGGCAAAGACCCTCTCTCTAGCACGCTTTGCCATAAAAAGCAAATCCGACCTCCTCTCGCCAGGGATACCAGCGGCTTGGCCAGGGCAGCGCGTTCCGGGGGACCAATCTCGCGAAAGATCATAAGTAACTTTAAAGTAGCATTAATAACTAAGAAAAAGAATTTGACTTTGAGAGTTAACGATTGCCGAAGAGGCTGGACACGGTCATACTGGTAATAAGTTTGGCTTGCTTCATCGCTACGCAACAGACTTTCATTTCGACTGAATTTCCCCCCATTTTCAGTGCCTCACATTTTGTCTAGTCCTGGCGACGCCGGAATAATGGGGAAAATTTGAAGATAGCAATGTAAGAATGTTTTATAGGCCCTCATGAGGCTATCCACGCAACTGTGCGCGACGAGGACCTCTTCGCTAGAGGCTCTTCTCTTCTGCGACGACGTCGATCGAGAAGTCTTCTCCTCTTCAATCTACAGATGGGGGCTGCTCTCCATGTAGCTGTCCAATGCAATAATATACTAGCTGTATTTATGCTTCTCTAGGGGGAAAAGGAAGGCGTAATAGACCTACCTCGCCCCAATGTCCCTCGCCATAAGACTAGGTTATTCTGAGAAGATGCGACCAATTTAGGCCTGAACGCCACCGACAAACCGAGTCGATGCGATGTGATTATGCCTCCCAGAGACTGCGAGATGCGGTCACCCTTGGCTCCTCCTCGATTGGTGTGCTGGAGAGGTAGAAACCGAGGAGTTCGCTAGCAAGGGTTGGGATTTGAAGGAGCAGCGCTCTACCGTGCCGCCCAAAATTAGCTAGCCAACGCCGTGACAATGCTCCTAGATAGAAGTTAATATCTCTGGGACGTGCTAGAGAGGACCTTAGGCTTTGCATATAACTTCAAGATCATGATAGGCACAGGCATGACAGGCGATCCAGACCACGGGGTCGAATATATAAGCTAGCAGTGGCTTATAAAACTGCTTTTTGAGACTGGTATAGATCCAAGATACTCGATTTTTGATTGACCATTGATCTCTCAGGCGCTCTATGGGATCAAGCTCGCTGGGGCGTTGCAGGTTCTTCTCGAAACGGGCAAGTATATTATCCCAGCCGTAGATCCTACGCTTGCGATTAACTTCTGTCTTTCATTAGGCGTCGGTCCGAATACAAAGTTCTTGGTCTTTAAGCAAAGAAAGACCACCTTGCATTACCTCACTATGCCATTGATAATCCGACGCGGTGGCACACAAACTGCTCTCCATGAGACGGACATCCGACTCCTTGAGAAAGGCGCCTCAGTTACCATCACAGACGACAACAGAGAGACACCCCTACATACCGCCGCGTACGGCTACAGCTTTAAGCTGTTCCAACTCCTACTCTCTCGCACTGCGAGCCTTCTGCAGACGAGCGGCGTTGGTGAATCAGTTCTCCACTGCGCCGTAGCCTCGAAGAACATTAGGTGCTTCAGTTTCTTATTACAATCTTCCCGGACCGTCTCGATTTAAACAAGGCCGACTCGACCGGCTGGACCCCTCGTGGTGGGTCCGCTCGCGAGGACCGAGAATTCCCATGTCAGCTGGCCGAGGGAGTTCCCGTTGTCACGCGCCATGCGAGCTACGCAGCCCTGCTCACACACGGCGTCGATCCTAAGATCGTCACAGGTGAGGATTGGACGCTTTTTCATTGCTTGGATAGCTACTAGAAGACTAGAGACCGAAAGAGTAGCTGGGCTGTTGATTGAGCTAGGTGCCTCCGCAGGTGCTGAGGCACCAGCCGTGGTGCTAACCCGAAGAGCTCTCCTACCCATCACCAGCCTGGCGCATCAACTTCCATGGGGGTTTCGTCTCCAGGAACCGATGGAGAATTTCTCGGATGCATTCCAAGCCGAAGTCAATGCCACCTTCACGGGCTATTGATTGTGGTGTGAATGGTGGAGACTTCCAGCAAGATCAGTGGGACCTATTAGACCAGTGAGTCCGCAGGTCGGCTTTCGAAGACTGTGGCGTCCCTCCAGGGCCAGTCATCTGATCTGGATAGTCGTGAAGTTGTAGAAAGGTAGGGAATCGGCCTTGTAACGTTGCGAGAACTAAGTCTCTACTTACTGTTCTCTGGTTGGCGACTCTCTTTGCAGTCATTCTTCTCCCGGCACATGACTTGTTAGGATAAATATCATATTATTAATTAGAGCAGCGCTCTACTATATAGCTAATAGATAGTTTTGCTCCCGGTATTAGCTGTTTGAGCTTCCTCGTCTTCAAAGACGAAGCAGACACAGGTCTCGCTCAAGTAATAGCGTATCTATTGTGCTAAGGAGATTATCCTAGCGGCACACTACCTAAGCTATCTCAGCCTCGATTAGCATCTCGTACTCTTGCGGGTCAGGCCAGAAGTTAATTATCTTGAAACCGGCGCCAGTTAAGAGTTTTTCCCAGGCGCTCTTAGTGCGCTCAGCAGCTGAGAGCAGGCACATCATCTCTACATCCATAGTAGTCTGGCTGATGCTCGCGCCTTTCGGTGGCATCACGATGTCGTAAACGAAGAGCTTAGAATAACCCTTAACCATAGCCTCTCGGGTATTCTGCAACAACTGCGTGGCTTGGGAATCCGGCCAGTCGTGGAGGACTGCATGGATAAAGTATGCACGGCTCCCTGTGATACAGGTATTAGCTACATGGGGCTTCTTTCCCCGTCTCCGAGGGGATTAAAACTACTACTTACCCTTGACCGGCTGGGGTTCGAAGAAGTCGTGAACCATAGCCGTGATCTTCTCGTCAACCTTGGCCTTGGCAATGATCTCGGGAAGATCCTGCAGGACCAGCGCCCCAGCGGGCAGATCTGGCAGCACGTTAAGAACGTGGGAAATGTCAAGGCCAGTGTTTCCCCCTACGTCAACGACGAGTGGCGATCCGTCGCTAAGGTTGGCGCCATCGAGGAGCTTGCGAGGGTCGTAGAGTTTGGTCCACGGCGTCTTCCAAGCCGTCCAAGCTTCCATGTGGCCCGTAAAGGCTTCGTAGCACTCGGGGCTTTTTTGCAAGCGCCCGAAGAAGTTGAGGCCATCGGGGTCGCTCTCCGTATGGTTGTTGACATCTGCCGCTGCGGGTTCCTTATAGCCAATCTTGGCCAGGTATTTCGGTAGATTGTGCCCAGCCAGGATATATTGGTAGTTTCTGGTACGCAAAAGAGATTAGTCGGCGGCCTAGAGAGAGAGAGAAAGGAAAAAAAAAATGGTCCACAGGGGGGGTGGAGATGGTAGTCCCTACGCTGCTTCAAGTGACGCGCGAACTTTGGTGCTTTCATCCCCGATGGCATGTGAAAAGGGGGTCGGCTTGAACGTGTCTTCCGAAGTTTCTTCCACGACGTTGAAAGCGGCCAAGAGACGGAATAGTCGCCCTACAAAGTTTTGGCTGTGAGCCGAGAATCATCGCAATCACACAGCACAGGTTGCGGGTATCGCGTGGGGTTAAAGCAGACGTACGCAAGAGGTTTGGCTCGATATCATGTGTAACCAACTTCAGCAGATCATCAATGGACTTTTCACCACCCCCGGCACCTGTCCAGGCCTTCCAAAGACCAAGATCAATGCAGGTTTGCAAGGCGGCAAAGACAACAGGGTGCTCAAAGCAGAAACCCCAGGCCCGTTCATATGGTGACTCAACCCTGGCAAGCAGTCGCCGAGCCGCCGCACGAACACGGAGTCGTTCTACCTCGTCGCCGTTAAATGAGGCATGGCTGAAGTTGTCGAGGGCGGCAATTATATCCTTGGACTGGGATGCCATGTTATACCTGGTACTGAGGTCTAGTAATATGAAAAAGTCTTGGAACTAGGGCAAGAAACAACGGTCAACTAGAAAATGACGGTGTCCACTTCCTACATAATAAATAGTTTACTCTCCCACCTTCTTATACAATCATTCCTCCACGCCGCGCGGGAGCTCAGTGGAGGAAGCTAACCTAGCTACACATAATTGCAAGGGGTGTTAAAGCAGGGGCTTCGTCCTCACCAAGCCAGAAGGGTTGTTATTATCCTTTCGTGTTTCATTCATTTCTTCAAGGGTTACCGGACTCCGGTGTGAAAACTTTAGCTAGGGTCACATTGACATGCAGTAGTGCCTCGCCGAAAACAAGTACACTACGTGATGTAGACCCTCAGTGGAGACTCCTTGACTGGCTAGGGGTACCGGAAGAGTGCTACCGGTCCTAGAATAAACAGCAGTCGGGAGACTTCCGGAATATCCCTGTTAAACAGGGGAAGATGGCGAAGCGAGACCAGATTTGGGGGGGAAAAGGGGCTGGCAATGACAGAACGCCCGGGTCTGAAGGATAGAACATGCCCCCTTGCTCATAGGATTGAAGCGTTCTCCCCAGACCATGCTCGATCACCGCCCTTCGTTTTACTTGTTTTATCTCAACTTTCCCCGCGGCAGCAAACAAAAAGCCTTTACCAGTCAAGTGTACTCCCAACAGTGCCTTTCAAACTCGAAATATGGGGGGTAAACATCGTCAAGAATCCAAACCATAACATTCCACCCCACTGCCGAGCGGTTCGTCTCCTGTGACATCTCCGACAAGTATTGGGTTGTATCAAAGTTGAACGGTCGACCTGACTCTTTCAGTGTGCATGGACTAAGGAAAGGGAAGATATCTCAACAGCATAGCTGCTGTTGCATTGAAGAATCGCCGCCCTGAAGGCCCTTAGGCGAGGTAAAATGTACTCTGGCAAAAGTCTGGCAGTACTTCTGCTACCAGTGGAATTGGATCATACGACACAGCATCATTGACGATTCTGCAGATGCAGAAAGGTGGAATCTTTGCTAATTGGTCCCGCTGCCCTTGGGATTCGAGGGATTTATGCAGCCCATCCACTACCCAGGTTGCAAACGACCACGACCATTGAGGAAAAAGTTCTGCGTAGACTTGGTGTGTTTTAGCCACATGTGCCTGCAGTTCCGTGGGGCTGGATAGTGGGTCCAATAGCTGCTCGCGTCTCAACATCATGCTATTCATCCAACTAGTCGGGATGTGCCGCTCAGCTTTAATTTCAGATTCCCGCTTCCATTGGAATAGGGCCATATTCCAGCTTCTTTAGGTAGCTCCCGGTGACGGGTTGAGTTTTCATTTTTGATGCATGGTAGCTTGGCGCTACTTTCGAAGTATGGCGCAATGAAGAAATTTCTACTCGGTAGATGCTCACCATCCGAATCTGCAGGTCCCGGCCCTGGGCACTGGACGACGCGTTCTGTGGGGGCTGCTGCTGCTGCACCCACGAAGTAGTTTACGCACAGTATTAGCATGTCATGGTTTTAAGGGGTTAAGTTACATCTTCGCCCAGGATATTTGCAGGGGTTGTTTGTACCGAGACATCCGTATTTAACTAAAGCTGGACTAGTATCTCTTCCTTGTCGAGTGAGGTCAACCTCATAAATGTGGTGCGAGCTGAATGCTAGTTCCTTCATCCAGGAGGATTTGGGACCCTACCCCCGAGTAGTGTGATGTAGTTCTTGGCTCGCCACCGTTACAAAGTTGATAATGTCGGGAAGTCCAACTCTTTTGAGTCGAAGAGAAACGAACACTTTCCCGAGTCTTTCGCTTCCCCTGGAATTCGCTAGCAACACAGCGCCTGCCCTTCCCGAGAGCCCGATATCGTCAGCTTTTCCGCATGGGCCAGTACTATGGGGGCCTCGGGCCCATGACCAATGCGGTCTTGTGGGCGGAGGTCGCGATTTTCGCCATCTTTGTCGGCCTAAGACTCTATACGCGCATAGCAATTCTGAATGCTGCTGGCGCCGATGATTATCTCATTATAGTCGCGCTGGTAGGGACAACTCCACGCCATTTCATCTCAATTGTAAGGCGACTGACTTGGTTCTGCAGGTTCTTCAAATTCTTTACACCGTCTTCGTCACCGTGGCGACATCCTACGGTCTCGGACGACTTTTCGCTGACGTTGGCAATGCTGAAGTTTATTGGACCGCTCTCAAATATGAAATCTTCAGCCAGGTGGCCGGGCTCATGGTCATTGGTGTAGGGAAATGCGCCGTTGGCGTCTTTCTTCTCCGGATCGTACGAAATAAGATACAGACAGTTTTCATCTGGGCCTTCATGGCGGGGACCGTCTTCATCACCCTCTTCGCTAGCATCACCGTTGTCGTTCAGTGTATTCCAGTTCAGAAAACATGGAACCCCACTCTTCCTGGGACATGCTGGCTTGATTTCTCCAAGGTCGGCTTGACTGTTGGATGTAAGTGTGGTAAAGTGCAATATCCTACTCTAACAGCACTAATGGGTTTGTTGCAGCTTGGTTTGTCGTCGCCGACTTCTCCTTTGCTATTCTTCCTTGGTTTGTCATCTGGGATCTGAACATGAAACGCAAGGAGAAGATCACTGTTGCCCTAGGTCTCAGCCTCGGTGTTTTGTAAGTTGCTTCACTAACCTTCACGCCCCTACCTCCAAGCTAACGATGATTATAGCGCTGGGATCTGTGGGATTGTACGCACCGTGGCTCTGAACAGCTTAAACGCACAAGAGTATATCCGTATGCTATCGTCATTGACTCTCGGCTCGTGTTAGTGTTCCGGGTTAACCAGTTAGCAGATGATACCGTGCCCATGCTTATCTGGTCAGCTACCGAGAGTACCGTCACCATCATGTGCTCGTCAATTCCCGTTCTACGACCACTGTATGTTCGTATCCGGTATGGGAGCAAAGGCGACAGCTCTGGTACTGGTGGTAGCTCTTATAAGCTACCAATGTACGGCAACAATAGTACGCGGAAGTACGGTCTTGGGTCATCAGCGGGTATTGAAGGGAAAGCTTCCACAACTCGCCAGGCAGTCATAACCTACAATAACGCAAGCGACGAGAGCATACTACGAGATACAAAGGATCAGAATGGCATAGGTAGGGGGATCAAGAGAACGGACGAGATTTCAATTAGGTATACGCCAAACAGCGGGCAGGACCAGTAGAGGCTTTGACTTCGGTACCGTTGGATCGTGTTTATAAAACTCGGTTTGAGATGTAGGATGTGGTATGGAAATGCTGCAGTAATCTAGATTCTCTTAGTTTCCCGTCCTCTTCCCTTCCATACAATGCAAAATAGAAGCTCTACGTTCGATAAATAAAGGCCGGGAACTCGTCACTAGATCAAAAATAAAAGCCTGTTGTCTTACTGCCGGTCCGGAGAGCAGCTGATGGGGGTCCAGGCTTTGGTTATGACTTGCTTATCACAACCACAGAATTGGAAACAGTAAGGTAGTATTTAAGAAAGGCTCTGTTCACACGAAAGGTGACTGGGGTGAAGTTGTTGGAGCTGCGGCGGGAAGCTCTTCGAGTGCGCACAGACATTAACGGCGGCCTCTTCAACGAGGAAGGTTAGTGCCGGAAGAACCCGCAAGCCGCCCGGAAAATCCAGTACACCCGACGAGCTGTAATGGCACATATCACGCTAGTTGGTTTCGTCTTCTCCCGATCCCGCTTCTTGCTCTCGGGCCGTGCGTAGTCGGCTCATCGAAGTGCCGAGGTCAAAGATGTTAGCCTTGGACGACATTGAAGGGGTTACCACGAGTAATGCACTTGGTCGAGTCTTGAATGATAATCTTAGTCGAGCGCGTCGTGATCGAGACGCCAGGCTTGTAAGAGATAATATATTAATGATTCAACTACTTACGCTGATAAGTGGCCTTATTATGCTCTCCTTTCCGTCCGTCTTTCTCTGCTCACAGGAGAATAAATGAATTCGTTAATTACTACCGCTATATTCCGTCGGCAATTTCTACTCTTGAGCCTCGGTCCACACTTTGATGTATCGAGTTTAAGTGCAGGCGTAATAATACCATGATCTGGAATGTGAGTCGATTCGCACTACTTAGTCACTGCCTTCACCATCCAATTTCGGTGACTGGATGGGTTTCTTTCAAATCTGGGTCTTGGCCTGCTTGTGGCAGCGGACATTTATTACGCGGACTGGCTTGTCACCACAGCCACCGTCGCCTCTCTTCCAATGAAATACGGCCAATCATTTCCATGGTTGCAACGCAGCGGAGCGGTAGTGTTTGTGCTGATCGGCATTTTGTGGGACCTGCCCTACGACCCTGCGATCGGCAATTTCCTATTCAGCTCAGTTTCCCCTCTCCCGTTGGCGGAAATGGCTTGGGGGATGGTTTCAACACTCCGAAAGAGGAGCGCAAGGACTAGGTGCTCTGGGTGGGATTTGGAGCTTCAAGTTGGAATGTTAGGTACAGATGAGAGGGAATCAATGCCGCATCCCTCAGGGTTGAGTCGGTGTTCGGTAATTAGAGTTATTATAGTTATCCATTCCCAATTTGCGATGATCAAGTGACAGGAGATAGCCCTACTATCGAGAGGTGGGCAGTTACTACGATCTCACTGCGCAGAACACCATCATCATGCATGGAATGGTAGATTCAAGGATCCGGGTCCACACATGATGAGGACGTCCCTCGGCGTAGGATTCGTCTGCGTCGGTAACGCTTTCGTTACGAACGGTCCCCGATCTCGTTTCGCATAACCGTAACGGTTAGCAGACTTCAAAGGGAATCTCCGAAAGCCGTCGAGTTCCTGAAGCTGTTGGTCGGAAGGTGTTTGATGGATCACCGTCATATCGACCTTGTTCAGGATGTGATATCTCGCGCACTCGTAATACGCTCGTGCGGCAGGATTTAGCTGCCCGCTATTAAGTTTTAGAGGCATGGCGAAACTATCCAAACGATAAAGTATGTATAAATAATGAACAAATAACTTGGGGAGAAGACTATGCAGTGCTTAGTCGCTGACTCTAGAGAAGGGAGAAGGGAGAAAAGCGTGACTCTACGCAGAAGTTTGATGCTTATCAATGTCCGCCTCGGGCATGATATGGTATAAAGGATTTCTTTTATCCGCCCACCGCCTCTCCCCTGGTCCCAACGTCCGACTATCTCGACAGAGTTGATGAAAACCACTCGGGAATTCCAGGGTCATCTTCTTTCTCTTCGCCAGGAAGGGGAATGTTTTCCCACTTCAACGAACTATGGCCATAGGTTTTTCCCGCACGAGCATCGCGGTATTCGTCTAGGGGCCGGAATTGCTGTTGAGAATTCTCCCCATCCTCAACCGAACCCGCCTTGACCCAGCTCCAATAATCTGCATTCTTCTCCTCGGTTCCCTCATCCAGTCGCATTGCTTGAAACTCCCCGTAGTCCTCTTCATCGTCGCTCACCTCGCCAACGTCCTCGACCACGAAGTTTCCATCTGTCTTGGGACCATACCCGTAAGGAAACCATTTCCTTGCACGAGCCATGACCGCCTCCCTAGCCCGTTGGCGGTCGCCCGGCATCATTTCGGAAGCACCGGCCATGGTCGGATCCAGCTCAGAATATTGCCTCGAGGTGTTTCGTGCGGACGCTTGCCATTCTGAAGGGTCGGCGGGGATGTAATGAATCTTGTTGTTCTCGCCCCAATCCAAATGTATTACATAGACCGGCAAAATGCGGGCTGCGTCAAAGACGATATATTCCAAGTCCCTGTTCCCCATATGTGAATCAGCCCCTGGTATGGGAGACGTTTTATCCCAGAGTTCGTGGGCTCGCTCCACTCGGGCAAAACGGCCCATGAGCGTAGCACACACGATTAGTTTCAGACCGAAGTACTCCTCGGCCGATGTTGGTTCGCAATACCAGCCGGAATAATCGAGGGCGAATGCGGCATTGGGGGAGGAGTATATTCCTTGTCCGTAGGTCGCGCCTTGTTGAACCTGGTGGATTTGCGGATCCGACTTTTGTCTGTTGGAAGTTCCTGGGAGGGGTGTTCCAGGCTTCAAAAATCCGTAGCGTACAATAAGGGGGACATTGGATCGTCGGGTACCATGAAATGTCAGACGAGGCTTCAAGACATAATCAACGGCATCCGCGACCCGTTTTAGTGATAGGCCCGGTGGCAAGTACCTCCCTAAGGATCGGCGAGACATTTGGCTGAGTTTCGCATACATGGCATTCTTTGCTGCATAGAATCTGGTGGCCAGCTTCGTCCGCAGAACCTCTTCGATATGCAAAACACGCATATGTTCGGGTATATGTTTGACAATTTCTGCAGGAGAGCCAACAAGCTCGCGAGCAATTTCGCTAGATGATTTGATTTCACCCAGCCTTTTGAGCTGGATTATATCATCTATCGGCTCTGGCTTTGGACCCACAGAATGGTGCTTCTTTAGCCTCTCATTTTCGAGGTCGCGGTGCTGCTGGAGAAACTTGCGAGTAGCCGATACGAGCTGAACAATGAGCATGGTTCTTTCGAATATGCCATACGTATTGAGATCCTCCCTGGCCTCCCATATAGAGAGTGTATTGGTCTGCAACGCCTCGTCATAGACGTCAGACAATCGCGCACGCAGAGTATCACATGGGACGCGACCAAGTTGGATGTTCTCAATGGTGAAGAAACCTTCAGACTCTAGTAGAATAGGATAGAATGGCCCCGGGTTTATGTGCAATATAATTTCAGGGAACGAAAAGTAAACCGGTCCGTCCAGCGGGGAGGCAAGCCGACTCTCCTCAGAGAAGTCACCGGTCGAAACTAGAGTGTCGACCTCCTCATCCCTCAAGAAGGAGAGTTGAATCCTGTCATCGTCCGAGAATGCCGAGTCCATTGGAGGATAAGAGTAGTCGCTGAATTAATACCTGGAATCGACAGCTCATTCTTCAGAGGCCTGTCTTCTGCTTCGTTTTAACATGGTGCTATGCCGGGGAACAGTCCAGTCATCGGTCACGGGTGGCAAGCCGGCCTTGACATTAATATCTCCTGAATTAATGTGGCTGAGCTGCGGCTGGGCCAGTGCGGAGGGTCACGCTGGTGCCTAATCCTCGGTTGTGGTTGTGCCTCAACAAGCGATTTCAGAAACAAAGAGCTGATGATAGGATCATGTCTCATCCCAGAAAAGAATGGATGCAAACTAGAATGTTATTTTTATTTATTTATTCATTTATTTTTTAACAGAAAAGGAAGGAAAAAATGGCAGTGATTGCAGGACGTTGTCAACAGGCCGTCGAAAGAAGCGAGGTTCCCATGCAGTTAAAAGTATTTTCCATTTCAACAGCGAACGCTTCGAGGCAAATTATGGGCCGATCTATCCAACAGTCTTGACAGGTGATGAGCCGCAAGATTCTCCTGGAAACGTAAAGATCGCCAAAGCGCAAAGGATTTATGGTGTCTAATGTAGACAGTACAAACTTCCACGGAGACGTACATTGGTAAATACGGCGGTCCAAGAATGTAAACGTAGATTAAGCCGCCCATTACCATACCAAACCGGAAAGCAAACGAGTCGTAGGATGTATGGAGGGATGACGCCCAGTCTGGCCTGGCTACATGTATATGGCCTACGATGGATAAAACAAAACGAAAGCAATAACTAATGATATTGGATCCGAGCCCGACTAAAAACGAACAATAATCCCGTAAAATCTTAGGCGTATTAACCCTTCAGCCGCCTCTCAACAAATTGCCCTTAACCCAAGTCGATCTCAGTGGTTCAATAACATCCAGGTCGCTCCGCCACCTCCTTGCAGCCATCCTTACCCAATGTCCACGCATCACAGAGTAGATTGCAAGCTTGGCCCGGCTCGACAAACACACGCCCCTCTTGGGAAATCGGTGAGAACCATGGAAGCCTCATCTGTGGCTTATCCAACGGAGCCCTGAAACCGTGACGGCAAGCGCAATAGTGTTTTCCAATGCTAGCCGGGCTGCCACCTTCGACGGTGATGCAGCTTGCTGTCTGATCGCATAAGTTGAAGCGAGGATCTGGATTACAAGTCTGGATGCAGGTTATTTTCTTGCAATCTGTTCCGCAAGTTGCACTGCCGGCCGGTCCATCGTCGCATTCTTCGCCGGTCTCAACTCGCCCATTTCCACAGACTGGTTTCTTCTTGCAGTCTTCCGTGCAAGAGGTATCCGAGCTACAGCCGGGATCGCA